ATTCACCTGTAGTCTCCCCTAATGATCCCCATGGGGAACCCCAGGCTACGTACGACTCCCTGGTAATAGTTATTACCGATGTTTCTCAGACCAATGATTAAGTTCCCAAACCCCAAGGGGCAGGGTAATCATTGCTACGTCAGCTGTCAATATTTACCTTTTTGACTTTTTTTTATTAAGCGTGATTTTGTTTTCTGTCATTTAAAACATTTATCGGGGATTTTGTCTTTAAAACCCACAGTTAAAATGTTTTAAATTAATGTTTTATTTTCTTTTGATTATCTAGTGCCGATACATTTATCTCGAATAACCTGTCTTTCCTATTGTGGATTATTGGTGATGGATGAGAAATGATATAATTTGATTAGATTATTTTTCGATAAAATTGACTTTAAATTAAATTAACATTATACGAAATGCTAATTTAATTTAAAGTCAATTTTATACGAAATGCTGTAAATATAGATCTAAAGATAAATAATATAAAATCCAATTTTAATTCCTAGTATAAATATCTTTAATATAAAATTTCTTAGTATTGTTATGTATGATTTTAAAATGAAAATGCGTAGTAATTAAGAAAATTATTTAAAAATTTGCATATAAATGTATACATTTTTAAAAATTAAGAATAATGAAAAGAAGGATATTATTCTTTTGAGTAGCCTTATATAAAAAACTACAAAGACCTACCATAGAAAAAAAATTCAGGTACCAAACTCTATCTAACGATTTAAATTCATAATATTTATCACATAGGAAGCAAAATAACAATTATTGTAATTATTTTCTGTCACTCATCCATCATTTTGAATCTGTCAAACAAATAAGGGTCAGGTGTCACTTCGGGCAGAAGGCCTAAGCTTCGAGACTTAAAGCGTTACACAAAGACCAATGTACGGTTGTAAAAAAAGGAAAAAAAAATTGAATTTATTACCTCTTTCCTCTTATAAACAGGAAACGTCAAATACCAAACTTTTTCGTCATTAGTTTTGGCGAGTTGTTTAAGAATTCACTGAACTATAATTAATTTTTTAAAATAAATAAGAATGTAAATTTTATAAGACAATTTTTAAAATTTTTATTGTTTAATTAACGTTTATATATATTTTATTATTATTATTATTATTCTACATACGTCAAAAACATTATTATTACGTTATACATAAATTTAAATGACGTCTCAGTTATAATTTAGTGTTTATATATAATATACTGTAATAAACAGTTAAATAGCAAACAATCGCACCGTGGGAATCGCTAGACTAAGAATTCACCACAGCCATGTTTCTGAAGCAACCCTTTCCTGCCTGTTTCTTTGTGAACTTCATGCACCCCACGGTCTTATTTGCATGTACGTCAGACCTAACTGGTGGAAACCAGACAGTTTTTTTGGTAGTTCAATCCTCCTGCCAACCCTTTGATACCTTCATTGTCTAACAACCCTTTCCGTTCGTTCATTGTGTCGACGTCAGTGGGAAGTCGCCTCGGCACAGGATGTTGCTGACTAGAATACATCCAACTGCATCTTTCCCACACCAGCTCCTCAACTACATTCCTTCGAATAAAAAGGAAGGAGGGCAAAAAATCCGTCTCAGGACCATCGTCTTAAAAAAAACCGTCTCCTCTTAAGATTTATAAAAAAACTCTTAAAAAATTTCTTTTGTTTCCTGATTCAGACTATTATTATTCTCACCTCCAATAAGATTAATACTTTTAAATTAATTTTAGTGTAAAGATCTTATCATTATCATTACTTANATGAGTGCCATTAATTTTTTTTTTAAATGTTACACTTTTTATAAATGACTTCGAATCATATTTTGATAATCAAGCTACGAGTTCTGTCCAAAAATAATTTATCAAGCGAGTTCACGCACTAGTAGAAGCAATTTTTTAATTTATTATTATTATTATTATTCTACATACGTCAAAAACATTATTATTACGTTATACATAAATTTAAATGACGTCTCAGTTATAATTTAGTGTTTATATATAATATACTGTAATAAACAGTTAAATAGCAAACAATCGCACCGTGGGAATCGCTAGACTAAGAATTCACCACAGCCATGTTTCTGAAGCAACCCTTTCCTGCCTGTTTCTTTGTGAACTTCATGCACCCCACGGTCTTATTTGCATGTACGTCAGACCTAACTGGTGGAAACCAGACAGTTTTTTTGGTAGTTCAATCCTCCTGCCAACCCTTTGATACCTTCATTGTCTAACAACCCTTTCCGTTCGTTCATTGTGTCGACGTCAGTGGGAAGTCGCCTCGGCACAGGATGTTGCTGACTAGAATACATCCAACTGCATCTTTCCCACACCAGCTCCTCAACTACATTCCTTCGAATAAAAAGGAAGGAGGGCAAAAAATCCGTCTCAGGACCATCGTCTTAAAAAAACCGTCTCCTCTTAAGATTTATAAAAAAACTCTTAAAAAATTTCTTTTGTTTCCTGATTCAGACTATTATTATTCTCACCTCCAATAAGATTAATACTTTTAAATTAATTTTAGTGTAAAGATCTTATCATTATCATTACTTATAATAAAATAACGGAGTGTTATTTGTAATTAAACTCGAGTATAGTCCATATTAAAATTTTACTGCATCGAATAATAATTATATCTTTAATTACTAATAAAGTTATCATCAAAGGATAGAGAAGAGATATGAAAATAATATTAACGATGAAAAAAAAGCAAGTTTTATTGAGTAATTTTTATCTTACTTATAATCATCTTTTGAGTATTATTCTTGCTGTTCTGATAATTATTTAACATTAGATCAATAGGATTATCTAATTATGACATAAATTTTTTATAGTTTTTAATTTACTAATGACTTTTAAGCTCAATTATCATTGATTAAATTTGTTTTTTAATTAATGGAGCTTATAAATTTACAACAAATATACTCGAATATGAAAATATCTATTTATTTAAGGCTATTTGATTTTATTTCGTGATTTTTATGCCTATATATTTACCATTGAATAATATTTTCGTGTATTCTTCACTTTCATGAAATAGTATTTCTGTGAATGATATATTGATTATACCGCATGAAAATTAGCCAATTAATTTTCTGAGTTCATTTGTAGTCGAATGACAAACTGTTCTTTCTGACATCTTAAGCTGTTTATAGACACACCATTAATCTTTCCAAAGGAATCACCTGCATTTAAGCCCATGGTAAAGTTGTGTTCAACTGATCTCTGTAAACAAAAAAAGAGGAAATTTAATGCCCAGAAAGGCATTAAATTATTCTTTATTCGTTACATTTGCTATATTTATTTCGAAATGTTGCTGTGTTTGATTCATAAATAGCCCTTAGGGTGAGATTTTTTTTTGTTTTTTTACATACACACAAAAAAACTGACTTTTAATTAAAAACTTTAACTTTCAGTACAATCAATATTGATAAAGCTATATAAATTCTCAGTTATTAAATGTAGGCGCTACTTTAATTTTACATTTAATTTATTACTATGTTTTAACTTTGTAAAGCTTTCTTTATGTATTTTTGGGTATATTTTCTATATCAAAAAGTGATAAACTATTCTCTATTGTTTGAAGTTACATTTAACTTTTAAACTTTATTAAAAAGTTCAGTTTTAATATATGCATTTATATTTTATAAACCTATGTAAAAGTAATTATTTACTTAAAAAAATCAATATCATATTATATAAAGCTTATTTTCAGAGTTATAATTTATATTGTTTGAGAAACTGAGAAGTTTAAATGTGTTAAAATATATGAAATTATAAGTTTTAGGATAAGAATTTTCAGTAAAATGCTTGAAGTCTCCGTTCCTAGTCCTTAAAAGTGCTTAGTCCTTAACTAAAACGTGCTAGTCCTTTCATCCTCCGAAAGGACTAAACTGTTTTAATTTTGGGTCATTAATCCTTCTTAATAATTTTTGTTATTATTGGGAATGTGTTATAGAGTTTATTACGTAAAATTTTTTTAGATAATGATAATGTTAACAGCTATCATTTACGATATTCTGTAGTTTTTATATTATTTATTGTATTTTCAAAATGCTTATTATGCGAATATACATATACATCTATTTCGATATCCGTTATGAATATTTTAATTTTAATTTATATAATTGAACATTATCACGCATAACGCTACAAATAAAATTGGTTTCTCTCCTAATTAAATAAGCTCAATAAAAATTGAGTTATGGTTTTATTTTTCTGTAATAAAGTCGCCCAAAATGTCAGCATTATCACGATACTTTGAATTATTAAAAAGACTTAAAATATTAATATTAATTCAATAAAAGTATAAGTTTGATTACCTGAATCTAGTGAATATTTTTTCGAAAAATTTTAAAATATAATTTGATATATTTTCAATTCTTTTAGTATAACCGTTATGGAGGAATTCTACTCTTTTCTATTGGGGTAGTCAAGAGGATTAATTAAATGGATTCTAACCAAAATATATAAACTTATATGACTATTATAACTTAAGTTTATTCACTAACCCCTGCCAAATTTATTCATAACTATGTGACTGTTCTACTGAATAAATTTTTATAGAGATAAATCATTTTATAATTGAAGTAATTGTGTCTGCAATTACTAACTTTTGATTAAAATAACATTTTATAACATAAAATAATATAATTAAACAATATTTTCATATCAGTTTATATTTAAAGATCAGTTTTTATAACGAATTTTAAATAATTAAAATAAAACAAGTGTGATATTGTTATAGAAAACATAAAAAGTTAATTTTTTTTTATTAAAATGATATAAAATCAGAGGAATTCTTTAAAATCTTTTAAAATTTTTAATAAATAAATTCAGATTAAAATAAATTAGAAAAATACGATAGTTCTATATCAATTTTGATTGAAAAAATGACGTTTTATATATTTAATTTTACAGTTTTTAACTTCATAAGTAATATGAAAGTCTTCGTTATATTATTCCTACGTAAAACTAGACTGACTGACTATTTTGATTTACAGAACCGAAGAATTAAAGGAATTACTCGAAGATATAAGAAAGGAAAAAATAAATATAGATTACAATCTTCTCCATGATGCTGGTTGTACATGTGATGTATCGCCACTCCCACATTACGTCACAAGCATTGACGACATTCGCCATCTGGTGCGGAAAACCGGCAACATTTTGTATCAATTACCAAAACCCGCCATAATAACAATATCTAGGTATGATATATTCCCTGTTTTATTTCCAGACTATTTTATTAAGCAAATTTCTTTTATATTTTAAGATTAACTTAAAAAGAATGAATTAATTCTGATAATTACTTTGAAAACATAATTGTAATAAATGTATTGCAATTAGCTTTTTAAAATATACAGTTTTACTCCCGTATTGACAAATAAGATTAATTGTATAGACTATAAGATAATAATTGTATATCGGATAATATACGAGATTTTTAATGCTAAACATGATTCAAATTCACAAGATAATTTCATGTTCGTGGCTACTTTAATGATACTCGTGAAAGCCAGTAGTCAATTCAACATGTTAGGCGGTCTTTGCATCGTGTATAGAATATTCATATGTATTCCCCATCATAAATCTTGGAGATAATAATAAAACAATAAACCGATTTAATCTATTCGGGACTTCAATTTAGGAATTGGTCTTGTAAGTTGCGGATTGGTTATTATATGATCGAATCTCATTATTTATAGGCCTAATTATTATCAAAAATTCGGAATGAATCTTAACTTTTCTTCACTAACAAAAATTTTTATCTTGTTTTTTCCTTTTTTTTAAATGTTTTTCTAATATTTAACATAGGCCTAACGTTTCTTTCTAAACTTAATAGGTCTACGTCTGTGAATGTATAATAAGATTGTTTTATTTCTTTTCCTTTAGCTGATAAATCTATTAGGATTCAAATCTTAACTTCATTATAAAGTCAGGATTTGAATTTAAACTGCACTTCATCTTTCTACTTTGCAGTATGTTGTGACAGGTGGTAGTTGCCTGTCGTAAATCGCCAGGAAGCTATATTGTATATGGTAGTCTGGTACACAGTCATTTCTTGTTGAAATATTAACTCTAAAGTCAAAGAACAGATATTTATTTCTCTCTCCTATTAAAAAAATCCTGATTGTAAGTTGACTCAAAAAACACTTTTGTAGCTTCCTTCATCATTATTTTCTTAAATAAATTAATTATCCTTTGTATTTGGGAATTCTAGGACTCGAAATTACATTGTAGAATTTAGAAGATCATAAAATAAATATATTTTTTGCGTAGGTTACTAACAATAAAAATTTTTTTAAATTAAAATAAAGCATTAAAATTAAATATTTATTTTGATAAACAATAAATTTATATTTTTTAAAAAAGATTAACTGAAAACCAGAACAGACCAGTTTATTATTATCATCAAACCAAAAATCCTTTTAAATTGATATTGTCTATAACAAAATAAAAAGTAAATTAAATATAATACATACTGTATATATATATATATATATATACATACAGTATATATTATATTTAATTTACTCTTTATTATATAAATATAATAATACATAATTTTTAATACATACATATATATATATACATATATGTATTTATGAGAGCAGCTTATGTTTCTGTTTATTAGATTGAATATTTTTTTTATGAGAACCTATTCAGCAACTCCGCCAGGGTTTGTGAACGAGGGGCATTCACAGCATGAGATTGTCAAGGTCTGAGAGAAATAGTCATTTGTCATCAGTAGACCAAATTATGGGATAGATGGACAGGTGTGATTAATATCCATTGGATTGCTCTTCCTAGATCTGTCACCTGCTGTCTAATACAGACTAAAAAGTGATCTTACTATCGATAGGTCAAGCACTACCCCTAAGTTCATTAGTATAAAATGGCTTTGTTCTCCAACTGGAAAATTAAGTGGGTTCGATAATAAATTAAAATTTAGTAATTACATATTGTTTAGATAAGCTACTAGGCATAAAATGGCAAATTTTAGATAAGCTGTATCTAAACGTAAAGCTTATTTTTATTTTTTAAATTTTTTTTACACCATAGTCTAACTATTAATTTAGCCCCACAAAATTATAATAAATTAGAAATTTTAAAACATTTCCAAATATTTTAAAAATAAGTTTTAAAATTGATTAGTANAAAATATTTCTGTAAAAATTTTAATAATTAAAAATTTATATTAATTAAATTTATTTTAATAAAAATAAGTCTATTTTACTCAAATGTCATTTTAAGCCCGAACTAAATACCCGAGAATTAACATTATATTAAAGAAAGTGCACATGAGTATAGAGTATATACATAAACTTAACAAAAGAAAACATGCTTTAACGCTTGGATCTGCCAGAAAATGATGCTGTTTGACTAAAAGATGTGCATAATTTAGTTAAATAATGATTCGACCAAGTTATTATTCCGTCTCTCTTAAATATTGTTTAATATAGATCGAGTGCCTGGGGCAAGATTTTGATAAATATGCTGTTGAGAAAGATAATGCTGTATAAAGCTACCGAATATTAGGGTTTGAAAAGGTTTATCATAACTTTTTTGATTACAGGTAATTTAATACCTGTAATTTTTTACTTTCCGAAAAAAAATTGACAATGAGATCATTAATATTAAGTAAAATTGCTTTCAGGCTATTTTATTAATGTTATATTGAGTTATCAGACTCATAAACTTGATTTTATATATAATATTTTTATGATATTTAATAGTGAAAACATTCCTATTTGTTAAAATGGAAAAAACAAAAAAATGATTTGCTACTTGTTTCTGCCTTTATTCATATTTTTGAATAGAAATTTCTTATATATCCTAAAAATCATTTTGATAAATAACCATATTTATTACAGACAAAATTTATATTCTAAGTTGCGACTTACAGTAAATATAAATGCAGAAAAACTAAAAAAAAATTTATGCTTTATTATGCTAGAAAGTCTGTTGTTGTGAATAAATTACAACTAAGCTTCGGGCTATCACGTTTTCTGAGGTGGCAATTCCTTATTAATATGGCAAAAAATTTCACTTTTATCTTACATATAGTGACAAGTTTATGTCTAATTTATATTTTACTTCAGGTATGTTAATTAGATAGAATATTTATTTTAAAAAAAGCTCTTTTAGGATAGACAATTGCCTTTATATTAACTTGACAGACCGAATAATTTAAGGAATCCAGAACAAAAAAAAAATATTAAAGATAAGAAATTTTTTCTTTAATTTGTAATCTATCCTTAATGCTTAAGATGATTTAAGACTCTATAATATTTAAGGATTTTTTTAAGAATGAGGATTATTTTATACAAATCCTTTTCGAATTAACATCTCTACATTAGTTGAATGTTTTTGTCACATATGATTGACATTATTGCATCGAAATGGTATCAGCTATGACATAATTGTTTTGATTTATGATAGTGTACAAATTGTTTGATTTATAAGGCTATTTTTCATGTACTGTAAGCGAATCTGCCACTCATAAATTAAAAAAAAAAACAGAAAAAAAAATTGTATGAAGACGTAGATAATATAACTCGGGTGGCATTTAACCTTGTTTTCATTTAAATGGCCTGACACCTAGATGGCGTTTAAAATGACGACACCAATGATGTTGCGTCAAAGTGCCGCCATCTTGCGCTAATGTAATTAGTTATGTTAATAGATAGTCAATGGTAACTGCGTCATTTTGCAGATGAGTACTGAATTTAGTCGGATGGAGTCGACTGTGGTACGTATTAATATATTGCTTTAAAATAGAAAGTTGTATAATGCCTCTGAGACTTTAGCTTTGGGCGTGGTTTCTATATTATCTAGATTTTTATTGTTGATAAAAATATTTTAAAAGATACAGTAATTTGTTTAAATTGAATAATGAATGTTTGTAGATTCGACACACTAAAATTTTAATCATTAATTTACAACTTAAATCATTAATAGATTCATTTGTTTTATGCGCACGATATTTGTTTCCTGCTACATATTTTACATACAAATTGATAATTTATATTAAAAAAAAGAAAATAAACAATTTGCACGAAATTAAATTCGAATTTAATATTAAAATTCCGTCTTGCTTATAACCGAAAATCTCATTTGCATTCAGTTTAATTACTAAGATTCGCCATTGCAAAAGCATTATATAATCTGATAAGGTGTAATATTTAACATCCAGTATTTTAAAGATGAAACGTGGAATTAATACTTAAATAATTACATATATAGTTAAATTACAATTATATTAACGTCCTATTTTCTCATTTCTTCTATCTAGTAACAGGAAATGAGTCTGCTATCTAAATCTTCGTTCTAATTCAGTGATTTCTAGATAACGGATTGACCAAGCTTCCAATGATTGCCAGATTGAAATTATTTATATCAATAAGCAGTGATTTTAATAATATGACCATTCTGGAAATGATTTTAATTATGAGAAAATTAACAAAAATAATATATAATTAACATACTAATGCTTTTATTTCAGACTTGCTTGCCTATAAAGCTATAATTTTATGGCAGATTTCTATTGATAGATATAATTTAAGACTCGTTTATGTTTGCTTTCTTTACAATAATGCTTAGAAATTAATCTGATATTGCAGGTCTTAACCTCCAGCATTTAGTTTTATACTACTTTTTTCTATAAAAAAATAAGTTCTATGATTAGAAAATCAATTAAAGTTGTCAGCTTGCACATTCAATAATAAAATACGATGCTTAAACACGATTCCATTTATATAGAAAAGGCCATTTCTATTCCCGACTTATTCTTCTATAATGTGTTTCGGATAAGATAAGTTTACATTCGTTTTATTACTTAATATATTTTTCCCCTTTCAAAATATTTATTTAAATAAAGAAATGCGAGTGGAAATTGAAAATATGACTTTCATTTCGGAATTAAATTTATGTCAGAATAATTCAAAAGACTTATGAATGATGTTTACTAAGGTTTAAGTCGTGGACCTAAGTAATTCTTCATCCTTATCTTTATCTCCGGATGATAGCTTTATGGAATAATGGGCCAATGTTTAACAGGGAATCTACTTTATCTAGTTTTTTAGATTATAGGTAACACTCAAGAACCCGGTAATGTGGCCAGCCAGTTGATATTAATTAAAAAGAACCGACTCGTCAGAATACTAAATTATGAAAATACTTCTTTTCTATTATTTCTCTC